TAATATTTTTATTTACTCTCTATTTTATTTATCAGAGAAAACTAATTACCACTTAGCCAACGGTTAGCTTAATCTTATATAACCATTATATTAATTATTTTTAAAAACTTAAGCTACCATTTATTTTAAGAATATATCATTTTTTTTTCCATTATACTTGTAATATTTGAAGCCAAAAATATTTTGGTTGCCTTGTTTTATGTTAATTATTGCATAATCATTTAAAAGGTTACCCTTAATTTATATACGACATTAATTAATATAAATTTAGGACTGGTTACATTGATTACCATAAAATTTGGTTGTGGTAAAAAAATTCAAAGATTTAGTAAAATTGAATTAAATTTTATGTAAATTATATGAAAAAAAAAAACAAAAATACTACTCAAATTTATAATGTTTTAAAAGACATAAATGTATTTTAAAATTATATAAAAAAATTACTCTATCGAGTTTGATGACAAAATTTAAATATGTTAATTAAGTTTTATGTCAAATTTTTAATATTCCCTTCTCTTTTCCCCTTTTTTTAAAAAATAAACAAAAAGAAAAAAAAAACACTAATTGAAAATTTAACCAATCAAAATTCCTAGTAGCTTGAAGGTACTATGGTTGTATGTGAAATTTATTAATGTTTCATAGTAATTTAATAACCTTTTGCGCTAATTATTCAATAGTATATTGTAACTATTGATTATTGTAAAAATGTAGTTTAACTATTATATTATATAAAAAAAATTAAATAGAGAAATATGATATTTTGGAAGCACCATAAAATAGAATTCATCACTTGCAAAGGAAACTAAAATAGAATTCTTCACCATTTCATTTAAGTGGTGAAGGCTGACATATTTACACTGAAATATCCACAAGGTTTGACAATATCCCAGATCCCCAAAAGATGAGATTTAATTAAACTAAAATCGACATTGAAGGATCTACCTTATGCTACTAACTAATCAATTATACCTAAGGAGACATGCCATGAATACAAAGTGAACCAATCAATTATGCCTTACATATTTACAACCTTACTTCAACTACATCACCATCTTTAAGCTCCGTGTTAGGCAATACCAGCTGACCATTAACAACAACGAGCTTTCCCTCTAGGCCTGCTCTTCTGGCAGCATCAGCTGCGGTGCTACCTGTCCTCAACCTCATTATCTCACCATCGGGCCAACATACGATTACAATTTCCCCAAGGAAGCCAGGATCAGTATCTCCATTAGGTGCTTCCCTTTTCTTTATTTGGCCAAGACTTGATTCAGAACGAAGTTGCTCTTCCCACTGAAGCATTGTCCTCAGTAAACGCACCTAAATACAAAATTAAGCTTAGATATCAGCCACAAACTCATGGTGAACGGATTAAAAATACACCACCGATCATAGTAAGAAGGGCTTCCAACAGGGAAAAAATGCAGTTCCATTCCGGAATCTGTTTAAATCAATACAAACATAGTGCATGTATTAAAAACATAAAATGGTAGCCACTCCACAATGAGACATGTTGATTGGTGGGAGATTTTGTAATAATAAAGGGACCTTGTGAAATGCCTTGGGCAACATATGCCAGATAAAGGATCCAAATGGATTCTTCAATAGATTCTCTCAAATAAGATACGGCTAAAATTTACCAAAATAAACGGAAAAAGACTCTAAAAAGATTTTCATTTTTCTCAATTGCAGAAAATGTATATTAAACTAGTTTCTCAGCAGCAAATCTATCCCTCCCACTTACTGATTATTCATGATACTGAAAAATTACGTATTATCAGCAAGTACGGGATAATTTACATCTTGTAAAACATGCAAGACATAAATAAAATAACTAGATATAAGAAAATCAACTGAACATGGAACAGGTAGCCAAAAAGTTTCTCTTAATCCTCAAAGAATATGAAGCATTGAATATATCCAAATTTAAGACAAAAAATCATTAGTGCCAGAGGATTTAGATGTGTTAAGGGTCACCGTCTTATAAAAAGTGTCATCATCCTTGTAAGGCAGAGGATTTAGATGACATTCTAGACATTCTTGATTAACATGAAATTATTCTTTTAATATATGGGTGGCACTTGCAGTGTCATGACTATAGTATACCTATTTATCTACTAAAGAAATGTCAAGATTTTAGATGGCATTTTAGACCATCTTTTTTGGTGTCTTCTCATACTTGATATGTTTATTTTCCTCATTTTCTCATATAACAGTTTTTAACTAATCTTATATAAGCAGGCACCCATTACTTCTACTGCGCCAAGCTTTGCCTATGCTTAATGAAGCGTTAATTTTAAAGCAGTTTTTTTTTTCAATTAGAAAAAGAATATTATTAGAAAAGGAGAGAAAACAATATGTATAGAAGAATAATATACAATAGGAAAAAAAATCAACAAGAAACCAAAACCACCTATGGGAGCGAAATATAACCTCCCAGTTTTGATGAAGCTGGAAGATCACTAGATCTGAATATTTCCAGTGAGCAAAACCATAAGGTGGCCAAGAAGATCCAAAGGAAACAATAATTTTTGTTAACTTTTAATTTTTCTAGGGAAACTATAGAAAACCTCGGCTTTCTGAAGATTTTGAAAAGCATGTTGGAGCCTTTATTATCTTGATGCTTTGTCACTTCAAAAGACTCAAGATCAAGTTTTCACTAAGTAGAATAAAATGGTAAAGAACAAAATAATATTAAAATAAGTTTCCAATGAAAGATTTCTTTTTGTAATAATTATTATTATTTTTGTATTTGAAATTTATTTAGATTTATTTGGGCATCATGATATTTTATTTTTCTGCTTATGTTGATCTTAAATATTATAAGAATTAGAATATTTAAAAATTTTTAGTTTATAAATTTTTTATTAGTTTTAGTTAATTTTTACTAAAGACTAGTAGCTGCCATAAAAAAGAGAATAGACGATGATGAATAAAATTTTTTTTTGTTAGGATCAGTTCCTTATTATTTTTCATTGTGTTCATTATTCAGATGTTCTGTCTAAACTCTCTCTTTAAGCCTAGTCTTTTTTTATATTTTTTTATGTTGATTTCTAATTTTCTATGGCCGATTTTATTTTCTGTTTCTGACCTAAATTTTATTTATTTCCAAACTACGTATTTAAACTCTCTTTATTTTCTGTTTCAGTCCTGCATCTATTAGCCTTTACTACTCACTAGCAGAATGGATTTAGAGAGGATAAGTTGATTGACAACAAACCTTGTTATTGATGCTTGTCTCCGTAGAAGTTGAAATTACATAGTCTGCATTTGATTTTGATGCAATAGAGTCAACGGGTTTGCCTTCAAATATAGCAGAAACAACAGCCCAGTATTCAGATTCTTCTTGATCAGTTAAATCAATAACCTGGATGAAGGTTGGTAGAAGGCGCTCAAATTGGTCTTGCTGCAGGCAAAAAAGTAAATATAGTAAACTTCTCAGAGAAAGTCCAGTGAACCATTGAATGTTTAACCACGTAGAAATTTAGAAATCCTAAAAGGGTAGGTAAATGAAGTTACTCAAAAGAATTTCAAGATCTTTTCGAATGTTTGGGCATGCTATTAATTTCTGCATTGCATCTATCCAGAATTACATCATCGCATTTTTAGATGACTATTAATTTCTGCATTCCATCTACCAAGAATAC